TGTCTTAAATAAATGTACTTTTTGTCTTTTTGAACTAAAAAATTGAGAAAGAAAATATGAACATGAGCTGTTTCTCTTTCAACCATGGCCTGAAAATGCTTAAATACTTCTAGAACTTGATCTTTAGTTTTTAGTAAAAAAGCCTAAACTTTCCTTGAATAATCATCAATGAAAGTAACAAAATAAAGTGCACCACTATGTGTTCTAACTTTTAAAGGACCACAAACATCAGAATGAATCAACTCCAAAACATTTTGTTTTCTAGAAGCAACATTTTTATGAAAAGAAACTCTATGTTGTTTACCCGCCAAACAATGAACACAAGTTTTAAGATGTGTACCTTTCAAACCGGGTAGAAGCTCTTTCTTGAACAAAACTTGCAGCCCCTTTTCACTCATGTGGCCAAGCCGCTTGTGCCACAATTCGGTAGAAGTATCATCTTCAAGTGCATTAACAACACCTTCACAAATTTTTTCTTGCATCGAATAAAGTGTATGAGTCTTCTTACACTTAGCCACCACCAAGGAACCCTTTGTGAGCTTCCATATTCCATCACCAAATTTGTTGTTGTAGCCTTCATCATCTAGCTTCCCGGTAGAGATCAAATTGAGGCGAATGTCGGGAACATGCCTCACATCTTTAAGCAACAACTTGCAGCCCAAATTTGTTTCCAAGCAAACATCACCCATGCCAATAATCTTGGACAAACCTTCATTACCCATTCAAACAGAACCATAATCTCTTTCGGTGTAGGTAGTGAAGAAATCAACTCGAGAAGTCACATGAAAAGAAGCACCAGAATCAATCACCCAATTGCTCTCTTGGCCCACAAAATTGATACAATCATCTTCACAAACGACTATGAGATCATCGGTAGTAACTGTCGTTGTGTCTTCTTGCTTCTTATCCACACTTTTGTCATGCATTTTTCTCCTTATTCTTGAGCTTTCGACATTCCCGCTTCATGTGCCCTTTCTCATGGCAATAGTAGCACTCAATGTCTTTCTTTGAAAAAGAACCATCTCTTGATTTGTCGCGGCTTTGATCACGACCATGAGTATTACTCCTCCCCCTTGTTTTGCTTCGACCTCTCACAACAAGTGCTTCCGAATGAGAGGAACTCGCTGATTTTCTTCTAGTTTCTTCATTCAATAAGCTACTAGTGACTTGGCTCATTGTGACAACTCCATCGGGCGCCGAATTACTAACTGTCACAATCAAAGTCTCCCAACTTTCGGGCAAAGAACTAAGTAGCATCAAAGCCTGCAACTCATCATAAAAAATAATTTTCATAGAAGCAAGTTGGTTAACAATGCTCTTTATTTCATTCAGATGTTCTGGAATAGGGCTGCCCTCTTTATATTTTAAATTAACCAACTTACGAAACAGAAAAGTTTTATTTGTGGCTGATTTCCTATCGTGAAGGCCTTCTAATTTTTTTCATAAATCATGTGTTGAA